CGGCCGGAGGGCTAGAGTGAGCAGAGGCGGCGGTTTCGTCGAAGGAGTGTCCGGAGGGCTTGTGGCAACCACATGTGACGACCCCGGGCTGGACTCAGCTTCGTCCACGGTGAAAGCCGATCCGGCGATCCACAGCGCAGAGGTGTAGTATTTCCTCAGCAACCAGCATGGATCAGCTCCAGGCATGATGAAGCAGATATCGTCCTCTTTTGGAAGGCCAAACAAAGTAGTTTCGCTATCACAAGGAAACACACAGCGCCTTCACGACATGGCACCAAGAGCTTGTAACACTCCAAAGAGAAAGGAAAAATTGAAATCGCATTATATGACCCCTTTAAAGAATAAAAGATAAAGAATCACAATTGTCCCTTTTTTCCATTTCTGAAGTTAATTGGCAACCCTAATGATGGCGTAATTATCTTTTGACTCCCCTGACAGCGGCACCTTGCTCAAAAAAAATAATAATTCAGTTGTTGGAGGTATGCGAGCAAAAAATTATAGATAAAAAAAGTGCATAATAGAAAGCGCAAAAGGTGGCACTGAAAAGGCCAGTACAAAAAAATAAAAATAGTGGGCCGGTCTAAGGCATGAAACTTCCAGGGCTGAAAATGAGTCCCACTCTGGCCCTGGGTGATGCATACTAATAGATTTGTCAACAAAATGCTTACAAAAGTATAAAAAGGTGGTGTGAATTGGTGTAAGTGTTGACCACTTTTTACAGGAATTTAACTGACTGTATTTTGCATAAATGCAGAGGCAAGAACATGTTTGTAAAATGTTAAATACCCGAATGTCTGCATGTGATTGCAAACAGCATGGCTTATTCTTCATCTAAGTCACAATTCTAGACAAACACTGTCTGATTAAACTAATTACACACAGTTGTAATTTTCAGAAACATATTTGTGGGGAAGGATGGTCCAACATTGGTCAAAAGTCTTATAAGCAGCTAAACAAAATGCTTGGTAGAGGGTTTTCTGGTTAGAGAGGATCTACAAATGATTAAATTCACTTACCTTCACTTTCAAGCAATGTGAAACATTACTCAATTTATTCATTAAAATACTATTATTTGTGTGGTATTATTTTAGCCAGATTGTGTTTATCTATAATTGTGAGGCAAATAAAGGATAGACTACACTTTATTAGTACTAAATACAGAAATCCATATACATTTATGCATGTACATGAGCTCAATAAATAAGAATTAAATATTGGGTAACCAACAAATCTGTTCATTAACTGATTCAAGTGATTCACTCAAAAAGACAGTAGCTGCATCCGAAATCAAATACTTTTCTACTATATAGTACGTGAAAACAGTATGTGAAAAGAGTAGTATGTCAAATTTATAGTACTCATGAAAGAGTCAAAAAGTACCTGGAAAACGTCTCTAGGTTACGTATGTAACCATGGTTCCCCGAGGGAACGAGACGCTGCATCGAGTCGCTTTGGGGAACGCCCTTGCGTGACCGCGTTCTGAAGCACGTGTCAAATCCATCCAATGGAGCAGTGAGACGTCACGAGCAGGGTGACGTAAGCACCAGAAAGCATAAAAGCGCATCTGGCCGGGCGCAAACCAGCTTCGATGAAGTAGCGCCTGCAGGGATGCAGGGAGTATGGCAAAGAGACGCAGCGTCTCGTTCCCTCGGGGAACCATGGTTACATACGTAACCTAGAGACGTTCCCCTTCAGGAACTCGAGCTGCGTCGAGTCGCTTTGGGAACGAGAATACCGCGATCTTGACACCTCAGCATGGAGATCGGTGAAACCGGAAGGCCCCCGTCATGAAGGCTGTGATCTGGATTCAGAACATGCCCGTCTAATTATTTTTAGGACGAGCGTCCTGTTTCTAGGCTGGCCAAACGATATTTTATTTTGGCACGAAACACACCCCATAATCACGAATCACACCTCATACGCGAGGGCCTGTGGTGGCGAGTCCACAGTCTCCTCTGTCTCGACACTCATCACATCCACCTCGGAGGAGGAAGATAGATGGAGCGTCTGGCTCTCTCTCTTGGGGGGGGGGGGGGGGAAGAAACCGCTAGAGAGAGAGCCGCGGATCTAGCAGGTGAGGACCGAGAAAAGGACGAGCCCGTCTCGGATCCCTCCGCTAAATCCACCCGTGACCCCCACGACAACCGCTGCCAGCCTGGCCGCTCTCATCAAACACAGCCAGGCGAGAGCGGAGTGTGCGCAGCGAGAGCTCGCAGTGATGACAATCAGCTGCTCGACAGCTGACCGTGCATGCTCCGCTCCTTAACAAACGACACACAAATCGTGTGTATCCCCCGCCTCCAGATATCGTGGGCAGGGAGAAACACAGCATTTGTAATGCCGTTCGCTCGCCATAGCTTTCTCATTGTTTTATATATACGAGCGCTTGTGCAGACAGACAACAGTAAATAGACAGACACATACACAGAGTGCTACTGAAGGGCAGAAGCTGGTTTGCGCCCGGCCGGATGTGCTTTTATGCTTTCTGGTGCTTACGTCACCCTGCTCGTGACGTCTCGCTGCTCCATTGGACGGATTTGACACGTGCTTCAGAACTCGGTCACGCAAGGGCGTTCCCCAAAGCGACTCGACGCAGCTCGAGTTCCTGAAGGGGAACTACTTTACAATCCATGAGGCCATGGGAGAATGGCAGTAAAGCAACGCGACAGACAATGACATGATGAATTTAGTGCATTCAGATTACATTGATACTGTATAAAACTTTAAAAACTTTAACAGTCATGAAGAAATTACTTTCAAAAGAATTATCTACTCAGAAAGTATATGATTTTAGACAGAGCCAGTCAATTGTTTAGTTCTTAAATTAATCTGTTTTTTGAATGAATCCTTTGAATGATTCATTGACTCAGAAGTGTCACGGGACCGTCAGGAAAGCACACCGTGGAACAAAGGGTTTGGGTCCAAATGCAGGCTTTATTTACACTGCTGGGGAAAACAAAGTAAAAACAGAAAACAAACAGAGCTGAGACTCTGAGACACCGGCTGAGAACGGATACAGCAATCACTGACACAAAACATTAATCATCCGCGCCGAGTGGCGTGGGGAAGGCACGTAAATAGCCCTCGGAAGTGGCTACAGCTGTGTGTGAGTGAGTGTGTGAGTGTGTGCCCAGGTGTGTTGGGTCAAGGACAGACCAGCGCGCAGGTGCTCTCCATCGCCGACTGGCGAGCCACTCCCAAGAAGTCCCTGGCGTACTCCTCAATGCCCCGGTCTCCCTGGTGGACATTGAGGAACCTTCCTGCTGGACCCATGTTTGGCGGATGATTCTGTCATGGGACCGTCAGGAAAGCACACCGTGGAACAAAGGGTTTGGGTCCAAATGCAGGCTTTATTTACACTGCTGGGGAAAACAAAGTAAAAACAGAAAACAAACAGAGCTGAGACTCTGAGACACCGGCTGAGAACGGATACAGCAATCACTGACACAAAACATTAATCATCCGCGCCGAGTGGCGTGGGGAAGGCACGTAAATAGCCCTCGGAAGTGGCTACAGCTGTGTGTGAGTGAGTGTGTGAGTGTGTGCCCAGGTGTGTTGGGTCAAGGTGACGGAAAGGGAGTCCGGGAGGATGGGAGTTGGCGACCTCTGGTGGTGAGAGGGAGAACACCAGACGCCAGACCCCGACAAGAAGTCCCTTAAAATCCTCACCACTAATGCAGTTGGACTGTACTATCTTGGGATGCTGCAATATGAATTAGACTGCTTTGTTTCAATTCAAGAAACTGCTGTATTGTCACATAAAAAAAAAAAGAAAGAAAAAAAAGATGACTCTTACCAGTTCACTAAACTTCTTTAAAGTAAGATCTCTGCATAGGGTTGCACAGCTACCCGACATTAATCAAGTAATGCACATCAGGGGAATAATTTATTTTTGAAACAAATCCAGGACAAGCAGCATCCAGCAATGATTTCTGCATAATTGCTCCCTATGTGAGAGCAGCAAGTGCTCAGTAAAGAGAATTTACAGTTTATATAATCAGATGTGATGTTGCTATCAGCAAACTGCAGTTGACAAATAGTGAGTGAATTTTACAATATCAAGCAAGCGCTGCGTCGATAGCATACGACAAAGATGCATAGCCCAGATTGCATGCATATCAGTTTTATAAATCGATACAAACACATAAACACTTGAAATAAATTGTATTTTTCCAGTTTATTCAATTTACTTAATTCAAATGAGCTAATGCAACACTTTTTTCGATGTGTAATCAATTTAAATTTGTAAAACAGAAGTTTACTTAAACTAATCAGTTTGTGCTTGGACTACATCTCCATCCGAACAGGGCACGTGCAATTCCCAGCATGCTTTGCATAGGACTGGGTGGGTAGAAACAGAAAAGCTGAATTCAGAATAGTATGCTACGCTTACATTTTCTGACATATAAAGATATATGAAGTAATGAGATCCAAGCATGAATGAATCACTCTTTTTAATAACTTAGTTTATCCAGTTCACAAAACAGGTCTAAAGCCCTTTAGCGTTCATGTAAAATTTGCCTAAAACGCCTAAAAAAAGGCATACCCAAAGTAAATTGCATGCTGTTCTTGAACCATTACATACTGTACATGGTTTTGGTTTCTTTTGAAAGGGGACACTCTGAGGTGTGTTCCTCAACAGTCAGAATCACTGTAAGTCTTATTGGTCTTGAGTAATAGAACTTTGAACGCACTGAAAAATAAAATAAAAAATCCGCCTACATTTTTGTTTTGTAAACAGATGCCTGCAGATGACTATAGTTGGGAGCTATTAGCTGGAAAATACATTTGGATCACATAATAAAGTCTTACCAAGAAAATTTTTTAAAATTTGATAACAATACCTTTGAAAATGAGTGTTTTACATATGTTTATCCAAATTTACGTCTAGGCGCTTTCCAAAAAAAGCCACTTGGACACTCCAAATGACCCTTTGTAACCAACGACACATAAAATGCTGCAATTCTTGAATGCTTTAATGTACATTCATCATTTTGGGCTCTAATGAAAGCTTACACTTAGACCTATTCAATTTCTTATCCAGATTCACTGTCAATAATTGCTGACAAATAGTAACTGAAGCATAAACACATTATGTAGTGGTTTTTACTATTTTTTTCAGAGGTGCTGTCATCATGTCCCTCAGTATATGGCTTTTTGCTGACTGGCTCCCAGACTTCACTCGATTCAATGTCAGATGATTGTCTGTGATATAAAAAAAAGCAACACACACAACATAAGTCAGCAGGAACACCTCAAATCACAAACACATATAACATGCACACACACACACACATGACAGAAGTTAGCAAGAACACCTCAAACACACACACACACACAGAGAAGAGGTGTGCACCCTGACTAACTGGTGCCACAACAACAACCTCTCTCTGAAGACCAAGGAGCTGGAGGTGGATTTCAGGAGACGGACCAGTGAGCACTCCCCCATCACCATTGATGGGACTCCAGTGAAGCGGGTCAGCGTTCACATCACCGAGGACCTCACCTGGACTACTCACACACAGTCAGTAGTGAGGAAGGCCTACCAGTGTCTCTTCTTCCTCAGACGACTGAAGAAATTTGGTCTGAGCTCAAAAATCCTCAGACAGTTCTACAGTTGCACTGTGGAGAGCGTCCTGACTGGCTGCATCACCGCCTGGTACGGGAACTTCACCGCTCTCAACCGGAAAGCCCTGCAGAGAATAGTTCAGACAGCCCAGCACATATATTATATGTAAAATATATATAAATATAATTATATAATATAATATAATAAAACACTTACTTTTTGAGTGTGACCTGTCCTCCATCCAAAATCATCTCCTCTTATCTGCTTCAATGGATGAAATATCGCTTGCTCTGTCAAAAAACACTTTTATTTTCCGGCCAATTTTATTGTTATACATTGTTTAACAACTTCTTAGAACAAAACGTTTGTTTTTCGCGTTCTCTTTGATAGTATTCCCTCCCTCCAGGACATCTACACCCAGAGATGCGTGAGGAAAGCATGGAGATCATCAGAGACTCCTGCCACCCGAGCCACGAACTCTTCTCACTGCTGCCATCAGGCAGACGATACCGCAGCATCAGGACCCGAACCAGATAGCAAAACGATAATCACACACATCTACACACCAGCACACTGACTCTGACAGCACTGTAGCATGTCTTGCACTGCATAGCATAGAACACATGCAGCTCCATCTTCTCTTCTGCACTAACAAACTACTGCACTGAACTTCAATATAAAACACTACAGTATACATCACTGTAAGTCATATATAAAAGCTATACATTTGTAAGTCTCTTGAGTATACTGTGTATTATGTGTATATTATGGAAATGTGTATATTGTGTACAATTGTCTATTGTCTATTGTGAAAAAATTGTATATTGTTATTTATGAATGCTGTACATTTTTCATATCTTGTTGCTTGCACTGCCATGGAACAGAGTCTTGTACACAAGAATTTCACCATTGTTACACTTGTGTGACAATAAAGAGATTTGATTTGACACACACACACACACACACACACACACACACGACAGAAGTTCGCAAGAACACCACAAACACATACCTCAATATATACAGTAAAATGTATAATATACATAATTATATGTAAAATATATATAAATATAATTATATAATATAATATAATAAAACACTTACTTTTTGAGTGTGACCTGTCCTCCATCCAAAATCATCTCCTCTTATCTGCTTCAATGGATGAAATATCGCTTGCTCTGTCAAAAAACACTTTTATTTTCCGGCCAATTTTATTGTTATACATTGTTTAACAACTTCTTAGAACAAAACGTTTGTTTTTCGCGTTCTCTTTGATAGTTTTTTTACCTATAACCACATTTTCCCTGTTATCTCTCATAGAGCTCTCATTACACACAGACGCACCAGTCTCCATTATCCTTTGCGCACGGACTGCGCATGATATGTTAAACCTGCCCACTAAAACAGCATATTATTCTGTTCAGAAGTTCATTGGCTATCAGAAACGACAGACAGCTGTTGGAATGTAATGAACTAGTGGACTAACAGGAGGCTTCATAGCTGAGTTCCTTCAGTTTTGTTATTGTTTATTTGGTTGTTGTTGGTCTGACAAAGACACTGATTGTACCTGCTGTGTTGATTGTGTGTTTCACAAAGTTAACCCTCAAAGTATGCAGTGTACCGTGGGCGGCACACTGGATCTCTAACAGGCTAAAGTATTCAGTCATAAATCTGACTGATCTGACTCTCAAATTCAGCTCACAGCAGTTCACAAGATTAAGTAAAAATAAAAAATAAAATAAATAAATAAAAACAAAGATATATTATATTATATTATGGTAACACTTTACAATAAGGTTCAATTTGTTAACTATATTATAGTTAACATGAACTAATTGAACAATGCTTCTATATTAGGCTATTTATTAATCTTAATTCATGATCATTTCAACATTTAATAATACACTATTAAAATTAAAAGTTGTATCTGCAAATAGCATTTACATTCAAATTAAATTCACAGCACTTTGCAATATTACCTGTAAGTCTTTCATTTAAAAATAACCGTTTTTTTAAATAATATAACAATGTAAAGCATAATAATACAATACAATACAATAATATAATTTATTATAATATAATTATTTCTAAAGCATTTAATTTATTAATTTCAACATTTACTAATACATTGTTAAATAAAAAAAAATTGTGGTATCTCATATCTGTTGTATCTAACATGCACTAACAATGAACAGTTGTACTTTTATTAACTAATGTTAACAGATTAATAAATACGGCAACAAATGTATTGCTAATTTTTTGTTAATGCATTAAATAACATCAACTAATGGGACCTTATATATAATATTGACAAACAAAACACACTGATACAAATCTAATTTTTAAAGTTACATTAAGTTTAGGGAAATCATTTTTTGAGCGAATCATAAATTATGCAAAAACAAACCAAGCAGATCTTGTTCAGGTACAGTAAATAGTTTTAATTTTGTGCTGTTGCGTGAGAAACCATGTTCATACAAATGTTTCCTGCTGTTTTTACAACCCTCATAGGAATTCAGGTCTGAAGTGGGGGGTCTGTCTCTGTGATTAAACCGTCGAGCTGCGAGCCAATCTGGCAGGCCGCAGCGCGAGACCGGTTTTGGGCTTGCGTTCAATAACGTACAATACAGCTGACAAACATTCATGGTTGCGCTGTCACTGACACGCATGACCAAATGTTACTGCGAGCGAGGCTTCTGATCGGAAAAAGAGCCTCTCACGGTGCAGGCTGACAGAGCTGAGAGGTAATCATCTGCCATGGAGTTTAAGCACATCAGTGCATACATATTCATTAAACCATCAAGCCCTGTCACAGAATACAATAGGAACCAGGAACTGAACGAGAGAGAGAGAGAGAGAGAGAGAGAGAGAGAGAGGGAGAGAACTGAAGAGCTTGAGACGCAAAGGACCTACCAGGAACTACTTTACTTAATTTAACAGCTTTATTTAATTCATCTTTTTATTTACAGTATAATTACAGTTGATTTGATAGCATAGAGTATAAACACACATTAAATTAATCAATTTTACTTCCATAGTGTGACCTAATTAGGAGTGAAACGCATTCAACAAGATAGAATGAAGCCAAAACAAACACAATTTCACTAAAGTAATGATTAAATAACCATTTAGCAATTGGTTAACATTAGGGATGCACTGATATTAAAATTCCAGCCAATGACTGTTATGCCCAGTATGCAATAAATGCTTATACATATTAAATATCTAAACTATTTGCACTGAAAACAAATGGGAAAGAATTTCATCTAGTGGAAATGTTTGGTACTGCGGCCATACAAAATCTTTTTTTTTTTTTTGGGAGAAATCAACCTCAAATTTGGAACACAACTTGTTTACTTTTTTTTTTTTTTACTTCCATTTTCTCTTTAGTTTTAGAGTAAAACATGTTTTGGAAAGTATATATTTCATATACAATTTTAAAATAGACTTTTTATTTTTAATTACAATAAACTTAAAGTGCTTTGAGTGTCTAGAAAAGTGATATATAAATGTAACATATTATTATTAAACTATAACTTAAAGTGATAATAACAGGTAATAAACAGGTAATACATGAATTAAAACTACTGCAAAAATATATAATGTTATATAAAGTGGCCCAAAAATATTAAATAATTATAAAACCTTTTAAAATTAAAATATAGTACATTTATTTAACTTTTTTTTTTTACCACCATGAAAAAAATACCATAGGGATAATATTGGCGGATTACGATTATAGTACCAATATATTGTATATTAACATCATCCAGTAATCCATGTGACATAGGTGTAAAAGGAAAATGTATTGTATTTTAATGAAAATAATTGCATAATTTAATGAAAAGGTCCCACTTTATAATAGGCGGCCTTAAATACATTGATTAGTCAAACTCTAGATGGTGCAGGCTGATGGGTTGTTAATGTAATTGATGATATTCAGGGAGTTAAACGACTTGGCACATGCTGATTAGTTCATGCTGCATATGCAGCCAATGAGCTTACTGCCTTGCATTTATATGGGTGGCTAGCATTCACTAGAGATTCCTGTAGCGCACTTTCAGAGTTTCTCTGAAACCCTCCACCTTCCCCAGCTTCAACTGTATAGATCTGCTACGGGTTATTTTATATGCTATTTGTGCAGCAGCAGTATGTCTTAAATACTCACAGTGCCGTATGCATTCCTGCACTTGCTTGCAGCAGCAGCAATAATCTACAACTACAGCAATAACCTACAGCAGCAGCAATTCAGCAGCAGCTTAGCAGATCTATTCTGCCAAGACCAAATACATTAACATTGTCATATCCATCACCATGCTAAAATCTTCTGAGAGTTGTCATGATTAAACTACTATTTACTTGCATCAAAAATAAGTATACTGTACTTATTGTGTTCATATTGTATTGCACAACACTTTTGCTGCTATTAATGTGGGATATGGGTGGTTAGGGACAGATTTGGTGGTATAGGTAGGTTTAAGGGTGGGGTAAGGTGTAAAGGATGGGTCAACAGTATAATTATAAATGTAATTACAGAAATTGATTACAGATGTAATTGCAAGCATGTATTTTTCAAAATATAAGTACATGTATATACACAATAAATGCATTGTATCAAATGGTTAATTTAAATGCAAGAACACAGTAGTTAAGCCACCTAATATAAAGTGGGACCAATGAGGAAAATTGAAAGTAATTTTTTAATCAATAAATCAATCACTATAAGACCACAAAAGTGCATAAAAAGGTAAAGAGGATCAAATTCATGTTCACTGTTTGTAGGCCTAGCATTCCAGTAATCTTATATCAAACATGTAAGCATGACTGCACATCCATATGTCACCACAAACAAAAACCAAACTGATATATGGTGTACTTATCAAACAGCCCTACAAATCAACCGCCTTTTCAACATCACTGTCACTGCTGACCAATCAGAATTGACTGTGAAGCATGTACACACCTGCCTTCTTTTTCTTTTTCAGTCAAAGACACTTGATGTCACATTTTCAAGAGTCTGCAGGTGAAGGTAGAAAACACATCACACACTCCATAGGTGTGGAGATGGCCAAGGATCACAAAACAGTTTACTGTCTCAACCCTGCAGGACTTGCCCATTCAAGACCTGCTGAATCATTTAATGAGACACATCCTGTGATTTTCCCCCTCTTACTGAAGGCTCACGAGTTGACAGGCCTCACTTTTCCGTTGCCATTTTTAGCGTCTGTCTCTTTCAATTACCCCGAACTCAACCGGAGACAAGAGTCAACTCCAGAATGAAATGTGACAGTGTGACAACATCGAAACTAGGCTCTTTTCCCTTACTTTTTTCCCCTCACTTTATCCATTGCTTCCTCCTTCCTGGGGTGTTCCTTTCCCTTGCGTTTTTTTATACTTGAGATGAAACGGCAAAACGGGGATTGAAACCTGTAATCAGACACAGATGTGGTGTTCTACATACAGATGAATGCCACCATGAGCGACACTCCACTGAGGTAATTCCAGCAAACAGGCAATTTGAGCGCCCGCAACAGCAACTTAACAGTGTGAGTCCACATTCATCTCTGAAGAGACACTCAGGCAAACCAAGTTTATAGGCTCTAATTATCCCTCGATAACGGTGGAGAACTGTGAAAACACGTTAACTCTATTTTAGCTCTTGAAGCGTGTCAGAGCGCCAGCGAACCTGAATTTTCGAGACGGGAGGGAATGAAAGTCCTATCTTGCTACCCTGCAACACGTTACCCTGCCTGTTTATAAGAGGAAGAAGTCCTCTGATTGTGATGCTTGCTTAGATTCCTCGACTCCTGCTGGTCTCCGTATGGCGAGGAAAGAAAGAAGAAAGACCGCGGCCTGCTGATCACACTCCCGAACCAGAAGACTGCTTTCGGCGAGCCGTCCAACTGTGCGAAGCATCGTGAAGTGTGTATCCTTGTCTATTGCTGTAAAAGCAGCGTTGTTGTAACATTTTCCACCATGCGTGCTCTTAAATAATTGACCAGCGCTTTGATTCTCATTCTTTTCAGTAAAAAATGTCTTGTTTCTTTGATAAAGGAATCATCTGATGTCAATCCCATTGCCTGTGTGAGATCTAGGCTCTTTGGGAGTCTCTTTTATGTCCCAGAATGCTGTTC